CCTCTTAAACTATAAAAATTATACTCAAAATAATATTTTGGAATTTCGGATTTAAAACGTCTACATTAAAGAAAACCATTGAAAATAATAAATAATATAATTATCAAGCAAACCAGGAGCGTACCCCAGGAATTTTTCAAAGGGAGGAGTCCAGATTTTTTTAACATGCAAAAAGTATTAAAAAAAAGTGGTTTACACCTTGTGAATTTTAAGTTCTGTCATTCCACGGGGGAGGGATCCAGATCCGAACCCCATTGAGTACGCCCTTGAAGCAAATAGTATAGTTAAATCGATTTATTAGTAATTATTATTAGTGTGTGTTCGTTTTTCGTTGATATCAGATTCAGTTAATGAAATAATATTGTAATGAGTGGTCAATATTACGAAATTTATCTAAAAATTGAAATGATGCTGAAAAAGAAACTTCCAATTTATTAMGAAAGAACAAGTTAGGTTAGTAAAATTATTTAGTATAAATAGTACTTTATTTTAGTATATGTATTAAACAATAGGTTGTTTTATTTAGACAGGATAAATGTTTTGGTATATTTATTGTTCTTAAATTATTAAGAATAGCCGCCCAAATAAGTGATATATTTTTTTTAAATATTTTACTAAATTATAGCAATTTTTATAAATATAAATTAGTGACGATTTATGAATTATAGATGAATAAATAAAAAAAATATAAATTATGTCTACTGTATAATTGTTTATTTTATTTACCTAAATGGCTATATTATCTTTAAATTATTCCCCAATTTTAAATTAGTCATTGAGGGGGGCCCAGATAGGTCTGATTTGAAAAGCAGCCTAATGGGCTTGTGTTTGTTCGTTTGTTGTTTCCATTTACATAATCATTATCATATTTTATTAGCGTAAAAATATGCCTGTTTTTATAATATTTTATTGTCCACTTACTGAGAAATTGTTGACGATTATTGGCAATTATAAATTGATATAAATTTATATGCATGCTGTGACGTTCATAAATGTGTTGCGTGTTGTATGAAAAAAAAAAACAAATATTATAATATTGTTCAATAAATTTGTCACGTGTACCTTCAACAAAAATAATAAATAATTATCTCATATAGATTTATTTTTGAAATTCAAAATTAATACTAATTTCAAAAGCAACAACCGATCGACAATTGAAATTTGCGCCGACTAGGCGTTGAGTAAATAAGTATTCCAAAAGAGTTATGAATTATGATTTTATAGTTATACTTGAAAATATAATAATTAATAAGGAAAGAACTTTATCAGTGTCGTAGCGTAGTTGTTTCTTGATAGCACTAACCAATAATTTTAAATATTTAAATGAAAAAAAAAATGTATTTTCTTAAACTGATAATTTTAATAATCGCATTTATGTTAACAAAAAAATAATGGCACTGCTGTAATAGATAAAATTCTTACCTATGTGTTGTTGAATTTTAGTAATTCTTCTATAAATACAGAGGGAGAAAACTTGTCCGCGCAAAACAACTGTTCCTGTGTTATACGTTTGTAAGAGTAAGACGGAGACGATACTTGCGAGTGTCGTGTTCTCTTAAGTCTTAAGGCAGAGGTACCTTACCACAGGACACCGCGAACTTGTTTAAAATATAAAACAATCATACGCATTTTAATCAATTAAAGAAGAAAGGATTTTATGAAAAATTAAATCATTACCTACGTGTTTCGTCCACGAATTATTCATATTCATATGCAAACCGCGATTCGTGTAACAGCTAAGTAATGTATTTTGTTCAATCTATTTTAATTTCGATACTGTTTGACTCGGCCCAACACAAAATTATGTTTATATTAACTTTATGAGACATTTAAGTGATTTAACACAAAATTATCTGTGCAAGTACCAATAATCACCTACAAATAACAATCTAACAGCTTGACGACTTACAAACGACCTACCCACCTACCCTATATATATATATATATTTCTTGTTTAACTATTATTCGTTGTTTCTATATAGACATAATAATAATATACTAACGTTTTGGTTGTACCTATGGAAAAACAAATTTATTAAATAAAAATACAGATTATAGATCAAATATCAATAGTTGATTCTATCAGATAGGCATTGCACTAGTTATAAAATCGATTCCTATTAACAACATTATTCGTTATTGAAATGTACATAATAAACATAAATTACCTGAAAACAAATTATAAGTCAATCTATATGACTATATAAGGTATCTCACGACCTATACTTCTATAGCACATATTATTATATGGTAATTTAGTATTTAGCATAATGTATTACAATAATTAGTAATTATAGTGATGGCCGATTAGGTACCTATTGTAGGAATTGATTTGAATTAAAATCGTAGATCTAATTGTATCGTATTATTTTTTAAATTCCACTCTCCGCGGTCTAAATAATACAGTTATTAATAGGGCTTTCTTCAATTAGTTAAACCTACAATATTTGTTCAAGAGGAGGAATATTTTTTTTATGGATTACGATACATCTATATGCGCTGTTAAAATCCCCGAAATTTACCGGTTGCAAAATTACATTACAAAATAGTCCGTTAAAAAGTTACATTAATGATTATAACTGTCTAGTGACCTTCAAGATTCGACGATGAAACCATCTCATGAAACCTACCAAAATGAAGTAGCATGAAAGTCCTTGAGTAGCTCATTAAACACAATTACCTTGCAAGTACTAAGTGTGTCATTATGTATACATTTCGACATTACGATGACAATAATAGTACAAGTTCAGCCAAATGTTTAATACAATTTTGAACATAATCGAGATTACTTAACAAATTAAAAATTCAATACTGTGCAATTTATTTTTAAACATCGTATATTATTTATTATTTAAACATTACCACTAGCCTTCTCTTTATTAATTCCATGTCGAAATATTAAACAGTACCTGCACGTATATATTTTGATACTAGATTTATAGAGATTTGAAGACATCGGATAAATAATTACAATAAAATATTAGTAACTGGTAATTCAAAAACAAAACCTATTATAACCTCGCCTAATATAAAATCGTAAAAAGTAATTAATAATGTTTGTATATATATTAGGTAGTATAGATTTACTATTATATAGTAGAAATTTATAACAGAAGTAATTATCGAAGTCTACTATTACAGTCATACGCAAAAAAATCGCGATATTTGACTTTTCAATTTTAATTTAAACGTGTTGCCAGATTGTTTTTTTTTTAAATCAAATAAAGGTAATAAAAAATATATAAAAAATCATAAATTGTATGGTTACCAATGCACAATTTAAATAATTAGAGATTAATTTCTAGGGAAGGCTGACAATATTACCGATTATTTGTAGGTCTCTTGTATACCAATGTCCATTGTAAAAAACTGAGCCACACACTTCGCATCAAGTCCACTTTAGTTTACATGCAGTTTTCACAGTTCTCCACCAAATATTGTACGTCCATAGTTTATAACATCTATCAGCTCAATATCTTCAACATTTTCAATGGACTAGATACGTAGTAGAAATATGACAAATTGTATTAGTTTTTTTTAATAATCCTATTATAGCCATGCCATATTATTTAGTATTACATATTTTGAATTATTTATATTTAAAAAAAAAAATCATAGACACACTATAATGAACCATATATAACTCGGGTAGGTAATATCTTAGTAAGACAATACATCATTTAATTCAGAAAATATTTTCTTTTAATACCAATATATAAATTTAGTAAAGGTTTTTTAAAATTTATAAGTGTTATTTTTGGATTGCTTTAAAAGCAATTCTACTAATTGTATTGTGTACAAATCAGTTTTCCAGTTCTATTTATTATTTTAATTTTTAAACAATACTAGGAACTGAAAACAGTGTTAAAAAAATAAAAATGCAAAAATAAGTTTTTCTAATGACAAATTATAATACTATCTCTTTCACATCTTAACAATTATTTATATTGCAGGTCAAGTTAGTTAACAAAGAGATAAATATATTTAATGGAAGTTGAAAATTTTCATACAACATAACAATTAAAACAAAAAATATTTTTTATAATTTTGTTGAATTATTATTTCTGAAAAAGAAATACATCATAAAACATAATAAATTAAAAGTTTTAAACAAATTTTTTTCCAGCGCCAATTCATATTGCACTTATTGTACTATTTTTCTAGATCTACAAAATAAAATATAAACTTAATTTAATAATATATTAATACTTTAATTGAATTTTATAGGCACTGATTTTACTAAAAAAAATCAATTAAAAATCAACATTTATTGGGATGTCAAATTTAATATGTTAAAAAATTCAACAAATCTGTACTAAAAACCTTCCCATAAGTTTGAGATCAGGAAAAGTTCATTTCAAATATTATATAAAGTGAATGCTTTTAAAAAAATAACATAAAATTAAAGACAAATGGCACGCCATGTTATTTAAATACGTTGGTGGTTTAGTAACAATAGTAGTAACCCCTTTTTGAAATATAAATGTAACTATTCAAAGAAAAAAATCAATAATAATGTATGTGCATTTTTCAAGTTTTCAATTTAATGTGAATGATATTATAATATAATATATTATGTTCAATAATTAATTTATTAAAATACAATTTTGTTGGTTTTCTATGTTCTATTTTTTATATGATACTTGAAAAATGCATAATTGTCAAATGCAGTGGTGATTGGGTATCTATAGGTACATTTACTCATTATTAACATATTTATTTTGACTATCCCTAATATATTACTAATAGGTCTACATCAGCACTATTCTTAAATAAAAAAAGCATTTAATCTTACATACAATTAAATTACATACAATCAAAAATAAATTATTTTAGGTATTTTTAATGTTATACATAGAAATATAATTTTATACTTAAAATATTTTTTGTTAAATAACCTTATTGCTCGACTTACATCTAATAAAAACCGTTAGTAAAACACTTTTAGTAATTCACTGATGAGACTTGAAAAATTTGAATAATATTTATATCCATTATTCAGCTCATGTGTTTTGAACTCAATTTTTATAACAGTCTTCATTGAAAAAAAAAAAAATAGGTATATACATTAAAAGAAGACGAAAATCAAATTGACTGTACAGCTGAGCTGAGGTGTATTTGTTGATGTTGATTACATTCGTCTCTTCCGGTGGTAGATTCTACTGAAGCGCGAGATACTAAACGAGCAGTACTGTGCTTTATTGCCATTTGCAACGTGTGCCTGCGATTTAATCTTTGAACACATGATACACATAATGTGAGCGGCAAACCATCAGAAGATTTAATCTAAAACAGAATAAAACATTAATTTAACTCAGGTTATGGCCAAGTATCATTTTTTTATTAAATATCATGGGAAAAAAGATAGATAGTGCTTTTAAGATGACGCTAAATTTTAMGCTCAGCAGATCATGTTAAGCTCCGTTAGTTTAAAATTTAGAGTGAATTGACTTCTTATCAAAATTAAAGGTAACATTATAATGGAGGGCTTCTCAGTCTTTAAAATTAAAATATAATATAAAGACTATGAGAAGCTCTCCATAATAATGTTACCTTTAATTTTTACAAGAGGTCAACTTACTCTACATTTTAAGCTAACAGAGCTAAACATGATCTGCTGAGCATAAAATGTGCTATGTTACACACTTGTAAGACGGAAACAACACATGTGTGGGTGTAGTGTTCTCGTAACATCAAAATATCTTAAGCAGAATAAAATGATTTATTAAGAAGACTATATTTGGATACAGTAAAGAATTACTTCCCAACACTTTATAACAAATCTACTTTTAGCGTACAATTTAAAACAACGAGCTATTTTGAGTATAGAATCTTTTTAATTGACACCTATTATTTTAAGTATATAAACCTCTGTCACACTGAACATTTTCATTTATGTTCACAAATATTTTGCAATACCATATGTATGAAAGTTAGTGATGAAAAAATGGAATTTTGTGTACCTAATTTTAAAGTGCTGATAGTTCTATAAAACACTTTATCATTGAAAACAACAAAGTTAACAAAAAAAGTCACAATTTAGTTAATTTAGATTTGATAATGGCTTACTCATATTTCTTTACAGTTACTTTAAGATTACATATGAATTGAATAAAAAACGTAACATAATTAAAATAACTAATTATTATTATTATTTGAAAGGTTAATGCTGTGTGTGGTAGGTACATTGTAAATCTGGGTAGCAAAAGTTTTTTTTTATTGGTGCCGACAATTAAAAATTATCATTTAGGTATAAGTACATAAATATTTTTTATGACAAGACTATTTAAAGCAGGTAATTTCTTTTACAATTAAAATAAAATTTATTTTTGTTTTATTAGAAATAACTAATAATTTATAATATATGTTTACAAGTAAGCTCATGCATACTCTGTACAGCGAGATAACTTGCTGATTCTGCACATCACCTCGCGACATTCTGTCAAAAGTGAACTGGTTTCAATAGCAGAATGACGTGAAGGTATATACAGAAACAATGTGTTCTCTCACTGAACAGAGCACCTTTACATGAAAGTTTAAATATTATAGTTATAAACATGCAATAAACAATGTATATCATTAGATATGTACTAGCAGGGTTGAGCACTTCTCAATTACAGTAATTTGATTACTTCAGTAATTTGTAATTGGTATTTAATCATAAACATATTGATGTAATTTGTAAAAGATAATTTTATGATGAACATTACTACAAAATACAGATAATATAGACATGTAGACAGATATAATAGTTTACATTTATATATCTTAATTGTCCATGTTCCATGTATAAATCGACAATCGTACTGTATGATGTACAAATTGTACACTACGTTACACACAGACTTACAGTAACCATCTCATTGTTGTCCGTCACTGATACCTTATTTTCCTAATGTTTTTTTGTTTTTTTGATTTAATTTATACACTTTTTTATATAATAATATTATTATTAAAAATTAATGTTAAATTATTAATTTAATAACTAATGGAATTGTAATAATATTTTTAAAGGTAATTGATAATTGTAAGTAATTCAATTGTGTAATTTGTAATCTGTAATTAAATGTTCTACAATCATGTAATTTGTAATTTGTAATTAATTACTGGTATTTTAAGTAATTTGTAATTGATTAGTTTTTTTTTTTTGATAATTTGCCCATCCTTGTGTACTAGTGATAAGAAATACTTAAATATCTTAAATTGTTTTATTAAATATCAATATTTTGTTGAACTATAAAAACTTTAAGATGGCTGATCAATACATTTAACTGTTATTTACTATACCTAACCTATCACAACTTAACTATAATTTATAGTTTGCTATTAGGATGATTACAGATTTTTATCAATCCTTACTTCAAAAACAAGTATTGAATATAAAAAAGTCATAGAAAATTTCTAAATTCTAAAACGCTTGACAATAGAATGCATTCTAACAAGCAATACATTTAAAAAATAAATAAATAAAGAATCTGTTATTCGTCTATTTAAAAAATTGATTAATTTTATTCAATTTGTACGCAACTTCTACTGCATTTAATTTTTTTGATATGTCGATAATTCTGAGTTTATACTATTTAAATTCAAAAGAATTTACATGATTATAGTCTCGATTAGAGTTAACTCTAAAAATTTAAAAATATTAAAGTTCCCTAGGAATACATTTTTGAATATGAGACAATTTAGAAATAACATAATTAGGGAAATTCACTAAATTGGTAGATTAAGTAGGTATACCTATAAATAGTTACAAAAAAAAATTATTTTTATCAAGAATTTCCATCGCTATATTTTTATATATTTCTTTCAAATTGTTGATATTTGTAAAGAATTCTATTTGATTCTATTTATATATATATATGTGTACCTATAATTTGTAATACATTATCACTATTTAGTATTTTTATAAATGTTTGTAAATACCTACTATTAACAATACAATTATTACGATTGGAGCACTTAATTTGTTAGTAGGTAATTAATTAGTGTTAAGTATTGAAAATATCATAATCAATTAAAAATTTACAAATTATTTTAGAAAAATTTATAAAATAACAATTAGGAACAAATTTCTTTAGCGCATTTAAGCATTGACACAATATGTGTGAGTTTATGTGTTAACACATTAAAGTTACATATTATTTTTTTTTTAATTAATTGATAATTAATGAACACCTAGTAGATAAGTACTTAAATAACAGGTAACTAGGTATTAATTTTAAAATTAATGATAAAGGACTTGAAACTTATATCATGATCAATTATCTACTTAGGTATTTGTAGTGCATACATATGATTTTCTTAAAAATTATGATTCATCATTAAACACTATATAAAATAACCCACAAATTTATTTTTCATTAAGAGGACGCTACACCCGCGTGTTGTCTCCGTCTTACAAGTGCGTAACATTGCAAAAACTGTTTCGAGCGGGAAAGAACCGAGAAAGCTACAGTTATAACTCAGAAACAAAATTTTCACATCATAAAGAGAATAATTTTGTCTGTGCAATATCGTTTTTATTTTTTCGATATCAGAACTACAAAAAAAGTTATTYATGCTTAAAAAACACAAAATGAATGTATTATTAAACAATAAGAATTTTTTTGTATAAGTGATATCGAAAAATAAAAAACGATATTGCACAGACAAAATTCTCCTTTTTATGTGGTGAAAATTTCGTTTCTTAGTTATAACTGTATCTTTCTCGGTTCTTTCCCGCGCGAAACAGTTTTTTCAATGTTACGCACTTGTAAGACGGAGACAACACATGTGGGTGTAGCGTCCTCTTAAGTAACTAAAATTAAGAATGCTCAATACGAATAAATGAAAAATAAAATTAACATTTTTAATACCTAATTCATAAAAACCTATGATTTAGGTATGTTTTAGCATTTCATTAATTGCTAAATATTATTTTTTTTCTATTTATGTCTTGTTCAAAAAGTTATAAAATAAGCAACAAAGCGATATAATTTTAAATGGTATGGGAAACGGTAGTAAATAATCAAATATTAGTAACAAATCAAGGGCACTTGAATGTTATTGTTATCACAAACTATTAACAAAACAATAAAAAATACATAATTGTCAAACCGACAATCAAATTAAACAACCTTCTTAATGTTTAAATAATGAATTATAATATGCTTTTAGACCAAATATATTATTTAGAATGATTTTCTTATAGATAAGAAAATATTTCAATAAATAAATATCTAAGTAAATTTAAGTTGATCTCTTTAAATAATAAGTAGCTAAAAGTTAAGTATAAATAAAACTATTAAAATTATAGTTCTACAAAAGTATAAAACACAAGAAATACAATTTACAAAAATCTATTAGGTATTGTTGTAAGCTATTGTCTTAATAAATAAGGAAATAGTTTTGAGTTTGACAACTTTAAGACATGTCCGTTAGGTCCAACAAMCTATCCACACAATTACACACGTTAGGTACCTACAACTATCAATAAATATTGAGTTATATAAATAAATTAACTTTAATTCCATAACCATCCAGTTACTGCATCAATAAAATTATGACAACACCGATTTAATAATTGTTAAAATTGCATACTGTCTGTATGATTTCAATAGTGTAACCAATTTAATATCCTTGACTCATTTTCAAACACTTTTAATTTAAAATATAAATCCAAATAGTAGGTAATCGGGTAGAGTTGGGTCAAGGTTACAAATGGACCATGGAAAATGTTTAAAAAGGACATCAAAATGTATATATTCCAAATTGGACATTAAAACGCAATCAAACACGATTCGTGCCTATATAATAGTACGGAAATTGAAAGAAGAAAAAAATAAATAGCAATTCACTAAGAAAGCTGGTGTTGTGAGAGACCTTGAAATCGCAACCAAAAAAAAAATTGCACAGCCGTTGAATTCAAAGAAATCACACACATCATCACATCACCACCGACGCTGTGCTCAACGGGCGGATGGTCCGAGGGGGGGGGGTGTTTGGGCAAGACGAGGGTACAGTGGACAGGCACTTTGGGCACTACTCGTTCAAAAATTTGACGAGGAGAAATAAAATTTCGAAAACGGGTACTGCACATTATAGGCGGGCGGTCGGGCAGCGCACAACCGCGTTTGCGTTATTGTGATATTGCCATCGAATATTACGCGTAAGGAGCTCGAGCGTCAAGGCTACAGCCGCGTCCTTGGCGCCTATGAAAGTAACACACTTTTAATAACCCTGAAAACGAAACAGAAAAAATAAAAATAAAATAAAAAATATATAGTTCACCGAAAACCCGAGGTCAAGGTTGTGACGGCGGCGGGGGAGACGACGTGTCGGTCGGAGGAACACAACACACTGCCGACGACGGAGGACATTATGTAGGTGCCGCGAAAATGTCGCTAAGCAGTGGCGCCGAGAACATGATTCTCAAGTATGACGACGGCCAGACCTAATTTAGGGGGTGGGTGTCTGGTGGTAAACTTATAAAAATGTATATATGAATAATGAATATCATAATATTAGGATATAGGTTAGGTTAGACGTCATGTTACTATTATTTAGATGATTTTATCAAGTAAAAAAAATAAAAAAAAAATATGCGAATCACGATTATTTTACCACCTCAACTTTAATGGCGTAGTTTTAAGGGGTGGTGGGCGGTTCGTTAAAAATGATTTTTGCCAGACCGTTTTTACCACTAACTTCGTCGCCACCGTGTCCAAGATTTCGGACAGGAAACCCGGGCCGGCCGAATAACGCCAAAGCCCGTCGCCCCCGCGACCGTGTCTCGGCGATGGCGTAAAACAACAGACGTGTTTCTACACACATTATTTTATTATAATCGCAACGGCCCGGTGATAACGCAACACGCACACAATCTACAGGCATGTGTGTGTGTGTGTGTGTGTGTGTGTGTGTGCAATGTGCATAATAATAATAATATATGACATGGTATACATTACTACACATAATAATATAAACACACACAAGCTCGACCGAGAGCGCGTGCGCGCACCGATTTCGTCACACTCGTTTCGAAACACAATAACGAAATTCAATGGGGCCGACGAAAAACGAAAATCACCGCCCGAACTACCTACCACGTCCACGTTCACCCACGTTACTCCGGGGCCGTCTCGATTTTTGACGGAGCGTCGGCCCCCGCGGCACACGGCCGTAGAACGGTAACGGAACAGTAACGGCGAAAATATAAAAAATTAAAAACAAACAGACGTCAACGACCGCCGTTCGTGTGTGCGCGCGCCACTTACCTTTATGGGCAAATAGTCTCTGATCTTTTGAACCAAATTGTATTTTCTGCCTAGTTCGCCGTAGATGTGCACAACGCGCTTGTCGATTTTCGAACACAGACGACATATGAAACCGCAACGGACAGCGTTGTTCACGCTTCCCATTTAGACGTGTCGTCGTCGGCAACAAACGCAACGAAACGGCAACACGCACACGCACACGCACGGCACCACACATACACACGTACTGGAGACCACAGACGGCGGCGTCGGCGAACTGCGCGAGATCGGTCGATCGGCACTTGCCAGACGGCGGCACACGCACACGGACAACGGTGTGAAAACGACGACCGCGGCGGCGGCTAGGTGCACTACAACAGAAATAATAATAATAACAATGAGTCTGCAATGCTGCGGCGGCAACCACGGCACGAATGGAACTTGGAAGCGAAAATCGTGATGATTATAATAATATTGTCATTCAAAACTATACTAACGCAACTACTCCGTTGATAACGCGACGTGACGACGGGCAGACAGACAACTTACTTCTATCGGTGGCCTGTCAACAATAAGTATAATATCGTGCCGGACCGTGCCACCCGGCCCGAGTTCCGTTGGTCACACTGATTGGTGCCCGTCGATCGTGATCAGCAGCAGCAGCAGCTGCAATCTGCTGCAGATCTCCCTCTCCGTGGTTTAACGGTTAAACTTTAACCTCAAATACGTTCGGACCAGAATACCAGATTAAAAATCTTAAATGATAGGGCATAGGCATTTATGCTTGGATTATTACATTATTGGTGCAATGGTGCAATAGTGCATTCTCATTACTTGCTGCCGTTACGTTCAGCATTTGTGTTAGGTACTTTACATTGGTGCACTTGCTTTCTACACGGCCGTGCAATTATACGATTATAATTATATAATGTACAATTATACACCGTAATACGTGCCAACTTAGTTTTTAGTAGTCAAAATTTCGAAAATATTTCAATAGAATACGATGTATAATTATGACTTATTATGACGGGTGTGAAGTTGGGTGACCAAAGCTAGGTCATTTAATCTATTGATAATGACGCCAATAGAATTTATTTATAACCTTTTAAAACAATTTACAAAAGTTATTGAGTGACATAGGGCGACATCTACTTCGTAAAGAAACCCTGGTTTATAGGACGGTGCCCCTGATATTGAATAAAATGCAACTCAACGTACAAGGTTTCTTATCACTAGCCGCCCGAAAAATAGTCACCTAGTAGACGACGTGATGAGCAAAATTTTTCAAACATCGATATAGTCGATACTTAGATAATGTGTATTATCTAAGAGTCGATACATCGAATTTTCGAGGAAAACACCGATGTTTTAACATAGCATTGTTTAGAACATGGAAAAATTTAAATGAACAAAAAAATTGAGATTATGTGCGACGTCCATGATCACGGCGTCCCGAGAGAAAAAACAGTGTGGCGCAAAATACAATAAACATGAAAACATATTATGTGATAACTTTTTGTGCGAGACAAAATTATAATACAAAAATTTCAAAACATCGATGCTTATGGTCGATACATCGATGTTTTGAAAACCTCTATCACCTAGCTGCTGCTTTGGTCACCCAACTTCACACACGTCTTATTATGTGCTCTTATTACTTCCTAGAAGTCACTTTGTGAGTAACTTTTGAATTGCCAAACCCTTGATCAGTATTTACTTGATTGAATTTTATTTATATTTACCTGTTTTATCTCCCTATTTAGAAATGTTCTCGACCGTAAAGGAGACATCGTAGACGTGAATGAAGGAAAATTTTCATTTTACATCAAGGAAGCGTTAAAAGAAGTTTTTGGACAGGTACTACATTATGTTTACTTATATGTATTAAATTGTGTCTAGATTTTAATAATTTACTCGATTTTTCATTAATTACTTCATAGTCTATCTAAATTGTTTCGCACTATTAAATCTTCAATATAATAATTGCTAATTTATGATCATTAGTACTAAACAAATAAGGAAACTGTACCTACCTATATAGTATTATAAAATATTTATTTTATTTTCAACTATGCTATGAATTTATTATTTTTTTCATGCTTTTAAAATATTGAGAAAACATTTAATTAAATTACAATAGTTTTTAATAATTAAATTTCTTTCAGTTTGGATCAAGTGTCAACTTTGATGTACTAAGTTTTAAAGCTGGAAAAGGCATAATTCGGTGTCCATCTACTTTTTACGTTAAATTTCGAGGAGCGCTTACTTTGTTTGGACGTCACAACTCAAATACTGTTGCGTTCAACGTACATCGTGGTTCGTCCTGTTTAATATCATTCATCACAGAAGACAGCACTTATAAACATGTCACAAATAATTAAAGATGGTAAAGACACTATCATATTCGCCACAAAAGAAGATCATCAGTCACCTAGTAAAGTCATATTATCACCTCCAGAACCCTCGCCTGGTCTCATATTTCCGGATGGTTCCATCAACTGGAATTGTCCATGTTTGGGAGGAATGGCGACTGGGCCTTGTGGGGTTGAATTTAGAGAATCATTTACATGTTTTCATTATAGTAAAGAAGAACCTAAAGGTATGGAATGTAGGGAAAAGTTCACAGCTATGTGGGCTTGCATGGACCAATATCCAGAAATTTATACTGAAGGTTTAAAAGATGATGAAGAATTTTTAAATTCAGAAGAACAGGCTGATGAAACCATCAAAAATAAAGAAACAAATTCGTAAAATTTGTTGTTAAACTGTGCTATTTTAGAATTTTTTTTTTCGTTTTAAATAGATGTTTTAGGTATTAAATTAATATTTTTGTTTTGTTTTTATGTGTACTTAATCATATTAATTATTATGAACATATTCTATTAAGACAAGCTATTTGCTGTTTGGTCTATGAGTCCGTACCTCATCATTTTATGTTAGTGTTCCTCAAAATATATTTTATTAAAGAAACATGAGAGCTAGAAAATAAATCAAATTAAAGTATTAATTATTTAAATGGTCAACTTGTTTCAAAATTAATGAAAGTGATGTGTCTATACTCTGTACCTCAAGTAAATTCTAGTTACCGTGTTATCAAAACCGGTTCCTCTATGGCAGGATATGGTGTGGGAATATGCAGAGAATTGTTGCACCTCTGCATGTTCTCTCAAGGAATTGAGTTTAATAGTTATTTGTGATCAAATTTACAATCATTAAAAAACATATATTTTTCACCGGTTGAACATATCTTTGGAACAATGTAATACTTTATTCTATGTACCTATAAATTGTGATTATAGCATTCATTAATTTACTAAAAATCAGAACAATAATCTGTTAACAAATGAACAAAAAATTGTAATAATGTTCATATTTTAAACTAAATATAATACTGTTCTAGAAATAGGAATATAGGGTATTGATGAAAAACTGCTTACCAAATAGATCAGCGTTTTTCAATATGGAGCGGAGGTGAAAAAAGCATAAAGTTAGACTAAGTGAAATTTGGTTAGTCATTAATTTAATCCATAATTTCTTTTCTATCTTATGTGCTAATAGGTTTATGACAAATTGAAATTTGATGTAGAATAATGGTGAAAATTTGAAGATCAAGAGGAACATGAACAAAAAAAGGTTAGGTTAAAAACGCTAAAACTTCTTTTTTTTTCATTAGATTTTGGTTCAATAAATCTCTGTATCTATCAGACTATTCTAACTATAAAGCTAATCAAATAAAATTACATCTCTCCAGCAAAGAACTTATTAAGTTACCTGTTCACCATTACCTGATTTCTGATGGTATTTATAAGCATTAAGCAACAAGTACAATAAATAATTTCTAGTGTTATCTTGAATTTCCAATTCGACATTAGACATAAGTTTAGAACATTTACAGTGCTGTAAAATAGCGAAAGTTTATACAACAGAATTGTACATCAAATAATTAATGTATTTTTATGAATATCTGGTGTTCGCACTGAAATTAAAATAACTAATATCATGGGCCAAAAATAAAGATTAAGCGGTCTTAGCTTATAAAATATAAATCCATGGATTTATATAAACATTAAAAACTAATAACTATGTCAATCGGCAGTCGACATTTTGACTTCGTAATCATTACGGTCTGTGGCGCTTGAATGTTTAATGATCATATTTATTCATTTAACAACCTTCGTTATAGTAAGTAATTTTTTTTTTTTGACAATCGTATTTATAATAATTTTATTAAATATAAATATATAATTAGATACTTCAAAACGACAACCATATACATAGCTTATAGGTAAGTATAAGATGGTTTTCGGCGCAATGCGTTTTAAAGTGACACACTATCTGACTATTAGACTTTTTTGAATTTCTGCTAGTTTAAAGCAATGGCGGATCTAAAAAGTGGGACTATATTTATTTCTTCTCTCGGTCTTACTCTCACACATTCACGATTCACTGTATTTTTTATACAAATATATAATAGACAATTTTATTTTATATTTCCTTTTTTTTATACAGAAAATAATGTATATTGTCATCTCCTCTCCGAAGCGTATTCACACACAGTTTTAAAAAATATATAATATAATCTATCACTATATATAACATGGCGTAATTCCATTAAATTTCACCAGGTGCAAAATTGTTATCGGTCCAATAATCGTAATAACAGATTAAGTCATATTACTAATATTTAAAGGTAATTGCATTTCTCGCGTGTCGCGTGTATACTATAGAGTATAAATATATTTTTATATTTTATAACAATTAACATAAACAACTATCAAAATCTGTAGGTACCTGTATTTTAAATACTATATTATGTGCTGTGCRATGGCGGAAATGGGGGGAGGGGCTAAGCCCCAAAAACAAACCTTCTTGCAAACATAACAATTTTGTAGTTTCATTTCATATATTATATTCTTAAAAAACAAGAAATATAATTTCTAAATCCTTAAGGATGATGGTTTTAAGAAGCCAGCCCCCCACTTTTTCAATGGATTTCCGMCTATGGTGCTGTGTCTGTACTATGATACATTATATACATATAAAAATATAATATTTATATGAAATTAATTAAAGTATTAACAAAATGTTTAAATAAGTTTAAAAAAAATTCAACAAATCGATGAAATATAGTTGGTGTGTTGTATCTATTTGCACCGGCTGCATAATACCAGGGGGTGCGAGTGCACCTCCGTATTACGCCACTGTGGGTACCTATAAAAGACATAATGGTACTACATATTATAGGTACTATTGCAAGCAGTCTCCGTGGCAATCAGTTATTATTTCAACCAAAATAGGAAAATGGTATTACTATTATAAATTTCAGGGTTTGGAATGAATGCAATTCATGAGTACATTCAATTTTTACATTATGAATTATGATTGTAAATGTTGAGTGCTAATACATTCAATTTTAAGCTCTATGAATGTGAATGTGAATGCATTTATTTTTTGAATGAATGTTCCAAACCCTGATAAATTTACCGATTAAAGTTCGGTCTTAGGTTTGGGTAAATAGTTATCAGCTATGTAAATATGTAATCGAAGCCCTAGTCAACAAGACTTAGTGCCGTTCTTACAATGCCCGGTTAAAGATATATCAGACACTTAACCGGACATAGTAAGAACGGGCCTTAATACTTTATCCATAAGGTTACCGACCCCGGTGAATAGGTGCCACGAATTAAAATCTTGTCAAGATTATTAATATCTTGAATCATGATGGGTACAACCGTCAATTGAAAGGTGTTTAAGCACGGGCACAATTACACACAATTCATGGGCATGTATAAATTTTTAGATTCGTAGCAAAATAGGTATTAGGTAGGTACCTATTTATTTTACATAATGATTGAATCTGTCTATCATCGACAACTTAAGGCACTAAAAATACTCAGATTATCAACATCGGCATTTTGTCTGATAGAAAAATAAATCTAGTCTATACTTTTTAGAGGTCAAAACGGAAAATTAGAATTTGTTTTTGAAGGCGTATGCATGTGAAAAAATGGTTATTTTTAAGCAAATGTATTTATTTTTTTTATTTATTTTATTTTATGGCCTATAAGACATAACCCAAACATTTTTTAACAAGGACACTTAAGGACAATATAATGTTCATCAAATATTTTTATTTATATTTTCAGACTTTTTGAGCTATTAATATTCAAGAGAAATTTTCTTTAAATAATTTTGGATTAAAAATTTTTTACACGGTAAAAAAGCTTGAAAATTTAATGCAAGGTTTCCGTTAAGTTTATTTAATGGAAGTTAAAAAAAATATTAAATGTACATGTGCACGATTATTTTTTCATGTGCATATAAGATTAAAAATTTTAAAATCATTTTTCAGTTAGAAACTTGTAAATGCGTTTTTCATACMATATTTCATAGCTAACATTAGAAATTTTAATAAAAGATTCCTCATAAAAACCTTTAACAGAAAAAATGTATACTGGAGCGGAACATTAATTTTTATTAGTTTGAGTATAACATTTTTACGATATTGGACTTTCATCTGTAAATAAAAGAATTTCCATCAATCGATTTATATTTTATTTTATTTCAAAACCGAATAACTGTACACACTAGACATTTTCAAAAATATTTTGACTGTTTTAGTGCTAATAAAGTAAAACCAAATGAAATATTTTCAATTTAGATTAGGTACCTAATTTTTAAATAAATTTTATATGAGTATATATGCTAGGATGTGTGTCATGAAATATACTTGATAATATTATAGGCAGGCTGGCCGTCTCGACTCAGAATCATTTTTCGCATGCAATGATTTATCATTAAATTCAAATATAACATATATATATTATACTTATATATTCAACAACAGCTATTATTAGCCTATTAAATCAAAGCAATACCTACTTGCGCGGCTTTTTTTTATTTTATAATAACATTAACCATTATAATAACTTTATATGTTAAAACGTTTTATTATCTACTTAACTTTCAATAATATAGTAACTACCTTACGAATATATATAATATGATATTATCTTCGGGACTCAAGGCCAAATTTTTTTTCTTACAGTATCATAATGGAAAATCCGAAAACAGTGCCATGTCCATGGGACCTTAATACTTATTTTGGAAGATGGATGTATTATTCTTGGATTACTAATCCAAAATTGAACTTTATCAGCTCTACTACCATTGAAAATGCCAAATTATTATGCCTTTCTTATTTGTATGTACCTAAAACAAAAAAAATTTATGAATAATAATCATAGTTTGAAATTTCATATCATAAGATGATTGATTACCAACGTCCAGCTATCAACATACATTATAATATATAGCTAGTATAAATCTTAATTTTTTAATGTTATATAAAATAATTAGGTAGTTAATAAGCTAGGTCGCTAGGTGTTATCTTTAATTTTATTTCTTTAATAGAAAATAATATATGAAAGTTTATGGTGGGTATTTATTTGATTATTTCTTTAATGACCTCGTATAGACKTATAGTCCTAATTCTATAATCCCATGTTTACTTTGTGATATCGACTTTTTGTTCTATGTTAATGACTTAATGACCATTCCATACCACTATGTCTAATACTGAATATAGAAATGGATCAATTTCAAATGATGATATCACAGATACAAAGCTGTTATGTGCACAACAAATCTACGAAAATGTTATTCACCCAGACACGAATGAAGTTCAAAATCGTTTTGGACGATTGTCATTTATACCCATCGGAAAATCATTATTAGTTGCTGTTCTATTGTCCCAATTGACGTAAGTTATAAATATATAAGGTATTTAGGTATACAATGATATACATCATTATTAAAACACATGTATTTTTTTTTACCTACCATTAATATAAGATTGGGTTTACTCGTTTTCCCATAAATCTAACACGGCTGCAGGCTGCTGTTAAGTAAAGAAAAAACATTACATAGGAACCTAGAGGTTATAGTGACATTGTAAGTTGTAAGTCGCATATACCATAAAAAAAATAATAATAATAAAACTAACTGTGCTTTTTACATTTAGTACCGTACTTTTCCCAAATCTCTAATATTAATTATAATCTATTAATTCTATAGTAGGTTTATGATATCTTATAAATGAATTTATGTATATAAATGTATGTATATACCCATAATTTCAAATGTATTAACTAATTAACTGGTATTCTTTTGTTATGTCAACACTTAAAAATAAATATAATTATAATTTTATAATTTTTTATAAATACTATAGGTAGGTATAATATAATATGTATTACATAATTATATCAATCATAGGCGTGCGCAGACTTTATTCGCAGGAGATGCCAATATAATTCGAAATAACTCAATTTTTAACTCTCTTAAAAAAAAACATGAATCAGATTTTTTGTCAAAAAAATGTAATAGGTACATAACTACAAAACTCTCTGTTACGTTTGTGATGAAAATTATGATAATGTTGATAGTTTTCACTATTAAAAGTAAAAACATAAAACAAGCTATCTGAGTAGACTGCTGCAGGGGATGCCATGGCACACCCGGCATCCCTCCTTTGCACGCCTATGATATCAATATGAAATATTGTATACAATTTTAAATATAGTATAAATTTACCTATTACCAATACCTACTAAAAAATAAACAGGTATTTATAATTCACTAACAATCATCATTTTAACCCGTGCAACGATAACAATAGTAATGAATACATATTTTGTATTTATATGTTATTTAGTACCTATTGAGTTTGTAGGTTATAAACACACAATACACGGCATAAAATATAATATAATAATTTATGGCATCATATTAATAAATTAAAATAATTAAGAGAATATATACTTTATACCTACAATATATTTATTGTAATATTTTAGAAGGAATTCTTCCAGCTACACTTGGCATGGTCTCAATCAATCATACGATTCATTAGTAAATTTCACCAACCGTAACGGTGATACCAAATTCATTCCAACTAATCAAGTTAGATTCGGAATAACCATTTTGGCTGCCACAGGAACATCGACTTTAGCTGCATTTCACATTGAAAAAATTCTCCTTAGCAAGATATGTCATCCAATACTTTATGTAAATCAATTAATCCAATATAATATGCAATTAACTCATTAATTCGCTAAGCCTTTTCCATAGCTATTATTTTCATTCTTCTCCCTATACTATACCTATATCATACGTATTATATGATATTTTTATCGATTGCAGTTTCTCAATAATATTATAAATATTTGAATTCACAGTAGGTGTAATACACTAAACTCTTGATTGTTGGTTCATTTATTCAAAATTAAAATATTAAATTTTTAAACATCATTAGCGATGCGTCCCATTGATAACATTCGCGGGTGCCAGTTTTATTAATGTGCCAATTATGAGACACAAAGAAATCATAGACGGTGTAAGAATATATGACTGCAACAAAGAAAAAGTTGGATATTCAAGAGTTAGTATTTACTAATTTAAGTCAAAATAGATGTAGATATAATTATTTTAACAATATTTTTGCTGTTTGTTTTCAGTTAGCTGGATTAAAAGGCATAGGAGAAACCATAGTTACTAGAATTATATTGCTTGCTCCAGGAGTAGGTATGTAAGAATTTTCAAATATTAAATATCGTAGTATCTATAGGTAGTTATCAATATTAATACATTTTGTACAACTCAAATTATTTTAATGCAGTACTAAAAACTTAAAATTCTTAACCAGGTGTTTCCTAGATGTATAAGTATATCTACCTTAATTATTAAAATCATTTTAAACTTGTTTTACGATTAATTTCGGGGATCAATCAATCAGCATGTGGAAAAAACATGATGCAAATTTAAAAACCTATTATTATTATTATTATAATTATAATTATTCATTCTATTTTTGTCGAATTTCGAAAACCAGGATACCATCAATATACATGCCAAGTTTAAAGTGTTTAAGTATACCTGCAGCAGTTAGCAGATTTATTTGATTCTTTGGAGTTAACATCACTTAATTACATTAGCAGGTTGCATAAAAATTGATTTGTCCTACGATCAACAATCAATCGCATACGGCATACGACTATCAAAACTTAGAATTATACAACAATTACATTATATTCTAAAATTGGAAATGGTTATTTCTTACAAATTCGTCAAGCTCGAAACCCCCAATTAAGATTCTTAGGAATAATTCTTAAAATGTTAAATCTATTTACAAGATTAACAATCAATCGTAACACTTAAAAAAAAATATAAATATAAACACATCATGGTAAAATCAATATACATTCATCGCTCCGCTCAGAATCTAAAATAAATATAAAAAAGCGTCAAAGCGTGTAATTAGATGTTGCTCTGCTGTAAAGTAGTTTACAAAGGGCCAAGGGGTTACTGTAATGGATCATGGATGGTATTAAATTTGAATTCAATGATATAATATCATTGTATATGAGAAACGATTCTGAGCGGAGACGGTTTATCAGTCTAGGATATTTTATAGTTGTATACTATATTAATTATATTGCTATTATTTCAGAAAAAAAAATGTAGGTATATCTATAAAATAAATACCAAATTAATCAATCAGATTCACTATGCACACGACTCTCTCGGTCATTCATAATAAGTATATACAATTTAAAGTACCCAAAAATAATATTTTTAAAATTTTACTGTCATTTATAAATAAAAACTAAAAAGATAGAAAATTAGATTTTCTCAAAAATTGATTTTGCGTAAAAATACCCGATTTTTCTTATTTTTTTTCACGGTGTTTTTAAAACTACTAGAAATTTCAAAATTTGACCTCTCAAATGCACCAACTTTAGATTCCCTTTTCTAACCAATTAGAAAGCTACTGAAGTTGAAAATCGAAACATTATTTCGACAACTTATCATGTACACAGACACAAAAAAACACATATAATTGTAAAATCAATACATTCATCGCTCCGCTCCGAATCTAAAATGGAGTAGCATTTTACAATTAAATGGTTTTAAAATTTTAAATATTACTAAAAAAAAAAATACTTTAATAATGACTAAACACCAGTATTGGCATATTGCAAAATTATAAAACACCTCACCATTCATTAATCTTAATTTTGCGAAATTCCTTCCTATTTTCCAAAGCCGACCATTTATAGAAAATATTTGTGAAAATCAATTAATATAAATAACTAAATAAGTTAGCGAAATAACCATATTGAATAAAAACAATTTTAAAAACTGGCGAAATCACTCTACCGTATATGGTAGGATTTTATCGTGTATGCGTGTAGGCAGATCTTCAATAAGTAGGTAGGTCTAGGTCACTGAATATTGTATAATAGACGATCTTTAATTTAAGTTCAATGATTAATCATTGCAATACTGCATACGAAATGTTTCCCAGCTTCAATAGCTGATAATAAATCAATGACGTCATACGGCTATGTATTTATTATGACGTGTTGTATTAAATATATCTGAAAACTGATGAAATACCTGGATAGCTGTCTACCTGTCTCTCTGTATATAAGAATATTAATGTAATTTTTGTAATTTTAAGTTTTAATTCAATATTTGGAAAATGTTTTGGATAACAAAAGCTGCTGGTTTAGAAAAAATAAATGGGCACATTTACCTTTTAATACAATTGGATTTGGAATTATGTAAGTGCTAATATACTTATTATATTATATTTACAAAAACATGCGACATACCTACGGAGATTAAAAGACATACGGTTATAGTTAATGTATATTATTGTAGTTGGTTATAATTAAAAGGAATCGTGGACATTTCCCCACATTTTGTTTTCGGTATAGTAGGACATTTCCCCCCGCGATACATATTTATATATATATATATATGTCGTAGGCATATAGTCAAATCAGGCATTTTATTAAATATAGTCATAGAATTTAATGTTTATGCAATTTCACTATCCGCCTAGACATTTAGTTAAATGCCTATTTCATGCCAGGCAAATAATAAAAAAACTTTTTCTCTTATTTTTAAAAATTTAAATATATTTTCTATCAGTTATTTATTTAAACGTAATAGACGTACTAAACTAAATTATTGTTAAATTCAATCTCATGTTCTGTATCTTTTTCCATAACGCCATATTTTTATCGTTATAATCAATAGGATTATAATTTGTCCCACGGTACTCAATATAGATAAGGTTCTCATACAACCTAGTACCTACGTTAATTTTCCAAGGTAAAAACCAATGGAACTTTTATTTTTATTTAATAAGAATATATAGTAGGT